GCTAATTTTTTTAGTTGAAAATATAAAATTATTTCATATGCAATACTACTTTTTTTAAATGACTTTTTTTTAATTTTAAAACGAATTCAAATTCAAACTGATTTTATGAAACACAAAAAATAATATAAGACGCGCCAAATCGTAAATGGAATAAAATGTGAGCTGCGAACAAAACATAAAAATGTGAAAAGTCTAAATAAGTAAAAACTATAATATTTTTTGATTTATTTTTTGATGATATTAGTTTTCAATAAAAGAAATATACTAAGAAAAAATGAATTATTTTTATTTTGTGCCGCAAAACACTATTTAAGTTTAAAATGGGAATTATGTTCTGAAATAAATTTGTATCCAATTTATATTATAAATCAGCATTATTTTTTATTGTTAAAAAGAGTCAATCTCAAAATTTTTTTTTATTATTTTACGCTGTTTTCAATTGAACTGTCCAGCATAACGCCAAAAAATCATTCAGCGAACACACTTACTTTATTTTTAGATGACATCAATTTAAATGACTAATAGCAATGTTTGGCCGTTTTGCAAATTTTTATAAAACCATAAATACTTATATTAAGCCACATTTTAATGTTACTCAAATAAACGTTTACAAGTGTTACGTAGGGAAATTTTGACTTATGATAGAATTTAGACAAATTTAATGACACATTTCGCTATTGAAAAATTCACCATTATGATTCGTTGGGGCCTAAAACAATATTTTGTGCGTATACCTCACAATTTAAAAAACAAGTCTGTTTTTATTGAATTTAACGTTCACATTACGACAAGTCATTCTAAATTGTCAACTATGAATTTTTCGCCAGGTTTTCCAACAGTCCTTTTCCACAATCTCATCAGTTTTAAATAATTTTTCATCCAAAATTTTCAAAAAAGTAAAAAAATTGAATGCTTCTAAAATAAAGTTAATGGCCTTAAAATCGGTAAGATAGATCAAAATAATAAAATATAATATAGTGTGAATTTTTGTAAATTTTTTTTTTAATCTCTAAATAAACTAACCGTTTTTTGATTTAAATGTATTCAACACTGGCAATATCTGTCTGTAGTATGGAATGAGTACAGTTGCCGTTGATTTGTGGCAGGTTACCAAATGTTGCAAAACTTTCAACGTCACGCACAAGCAGTGAGGGTGATGAGTGTTCAACGCTTCTATACATATATATATATACATATATATATACAATATATAATATGTATATATATATATATACAGCATTGTATGAAGTCTACCGAATTGTAGATTCAAAGTTTGTCTTCAATTTTCAATTTTTTGAAATTTTTTCAATTTATTGAAAAGAGAATTATTATCCATGTTTATCATGAAAATTTATTAAAACTGTTGTTATTCAAATTTATCATGCAGATAGGGTATCGATTTTTCACAAATCATCTTCAGTAAGGTTTCGTTTATATTATTTTTTAAACAAAGCAAAGTTAGTTCTTTAGCAAAATATTGCCCTACTGCTAAATATCTCCACATAATTCTGACCCCATACATTCTTAATAACCATAATCTCCAATCTTCACAGAAATTTATTAATCTATTGAGCATTAACAAACAATATTTCTTCTCTGGATGTCGAATCCTTGCTTACAAATGTTCCCAACCAAGACACAATTGATATTATCGTCATTTGTGTTTACGAATCGGACATGTTCTTCTTATAAAAAAAACAAAAACACATCTTAAATCTCTTCTCCAAATCTGTACCACCAAAACATTTTTTTAAACACCCATAGGCGGTGTAGCCATGGGTTCGCCATTCGGTGTCTTGTACGCAAATTTCTCCTACTATCAACACTAAATCAATCAAAATTGAATTTCACCATTGACCGCGAAATTGAAAATTCATTGTCATTTTTGGATGTTTTGGTAACGCTTAACAAACAAAGAAAGCAACATATAAAAATATTTGTTCAAATGGACTTAATTCAAAATAAGTACAATAAAATTTTTTGTGAACCGTCAATTCACGCATTCATCCTCAACGGAAGATCGCAATAAAAAACTGAAAAGAATTACTAATCTACTAATAAGCAATGGTTACAAAGCATTGAAACCACCATTCAACAAAAACTACGACAAGGTAGTAATATATTCAAAAAAAACAATGACAACGACATAATCCTATATTATAGAAATCATATGTTAACAACACATAGAATAGACGAAGTCGTCCTCAAACAAATCATAAAAAGAAACGTTGCAACAATCAATGATACCAATAAAATAAAACTCAGGATATGCTACAATAATTGTAAAACATCACAATTGGTCGTAAAAAACAACTGCACTCCTAAAGACGATTTTACTTTGAAGCGTAATCATGTAGTATATGAATTTAAATGCCCTATTGACGAGTGTGCGCGTCAACAACATTCGTATATTGGTGTTACGACCACTTCACCATCAAGACATCTCACAATGCATGCACAAAGAGAAGCCATCAAATCTCACTACAATCAAC